TTACTATCCATCTCTTTCTCAATTACTTTAAAAATTCCTTACATACACATACATTTTCAATTTATTTTTCTTTCGTTTTTATATTATTCATTTAAAAGAAATCTCACACCTACAAGTGATTTGTATGTAAGGTGTAAAGTGTACAATATATTGAATAGTTGGATTGCACTTTGTTAATGTTTATTGTCCTTGATCATGAACTATTTGATTGTTTTTTTATTCTATTGTATTTCAATTTTTGGATGGTGAATCTCACGGATTGTTTGATTTCTAATGATTTGATGTAAACGGCTTATTAGAAGAGAGTATTTCAACAATGATGGAAGGACAAAGAAAAGTTGTAGATTGTGACTTGTTAACAATCTTGTGTATTCAAATTTAAAATGATTATAGTGGACTTGATTGAATTTGATCTTATTTGGTTTATCATTTTACCAAACATCTGAAGCTTATTCTTCAAAATTTTGGTATGTCATGTTTAAATCAAGAATCATACAATATTACAGAATCCTTAAATTTAGTACTGCATTTGAACAAAATATGTAGTGAAAACATAAATAAATAAATACATTAACACATACCTATTTATGTTTAAGTTTTTCTTTTCTTTTCTTTTCTTATGTTTTTTACATGTAGAAAATTTTGTTACAGATGCTTCTACACACAACACTTGCCAAATAACACAAGAACTGTAGCGTTTGGGATGAAGGATGATGCACAACACACACACATATATATATATATATATATATATATTTTAAGGAATAGGTTTTTTATTTTTTATTTTTTTTAATATGTATTTTGATATGGGAAATTGATGTTAAGGGGGGAGGAGGGTTTGGATGGGAGGAAGGGCACTCAGGGGGCTTCTAAACCTGCCTTTTGTAGTAACAGGGCTTTAGAACTGTGGACAGTAATGTACTTATCTCCACTTTATTAACCATTGTGATGGTTATAACCCATATGTATAATAAAAAAATTAAAATTAAAATTTTAAAAAGAATTAAAGAGAAAAAAAGGAAAAACTTTGTCAACCAATGCTCATGAGAGGTGCTTTGTGTCACCTTATCAGAGGCATTGCACAGCTGCTCCCTTCCCACACTAAGTGTGCAATGATATCTGAAAATCAATAGGTATTTGAGGCAAAACCAGGGAAGTCATCCATCCATGGATGGATGAATCCGCCTTGGGATGAGGCTTTTCACATTTGTAAGGTCTTCTTTTGGACTAATTATCTAAATACCTTACAAGTGTGAAAGATAAATAAAAAATAAAAAATAAACTAATTAATGTTTTTTTTAGTGACCCCACAAGGACTGCAGCAGGGCCCAAAAAGGGCTGTGTGTGTGTGTGTGTGCTATTGCTCCACAAAAGGCCAGCCGGTCTTGGGATTGTTAGATTGATGGATTAGTTGATTGCTTTTAAAATCCTTTTATGTCCCCCCCCCTCCCATGCAGGCAATTTTTTATGAGGCCTGTATTATGTGGCATATATTAATTGATTGATTGGTTCATCCATCTGTCCATCCATTCCACGTTGCTATATCTCCATTTTGGGGGGCCTTTTGCTTTCAATGCATAATTTTGTATAATAATATTAAAAATGAAGAGCAGAATGGTCATGTTTATCAAAACTATATTGATACCAATGTGTTTCACCATGTCACACTGAATTCACAATCTTGAATGAATCACAATGTGTTTGATTATTCTTTGATATTCAACTATTTGATTTATTTGATTTATTTGATTTATTTGATTTATTTGTTTTGGGGGGTGAGGAGTGCTTATCACAAGTGTAAGAGAAGTTGCCAAACATCACAATGCTTGACAAAACACAATGTTTAAAGTCAAGATTGATGTCTCATGTCTTCCTCTATATGCCAATCATGGGTCCCCTTGCTTTAAAATGCTTGATCTATGTAGATGCAAGCCTAAAACTTGGATGCATACAAGCTTTTTTCATTTAAAGGGGGGTTGTGTTTGTAGGTGATGGTTGCTTTGGATAAGAAGCTCAATTTCTACTAGTGAAATATACTTTTTCTTTTTCTTTTTTGCCTTGCCACTTGTTCTGATACTAAGTGCAAGAAAATTATTTATAGTGGGTGTTAATACACTTTCTTTTGCACATGTTTGAAAGCCATCTTTTGATGTGTACACGAGTCACAATTGTTCCACATGTTTGAACTCAAACTCTTATGTACTCCCTACACTATGGTGGATTTTTCTTCATTTTATTCAAACATGTTGAACTTTGGAGTTTTGACAAAAAAAAATTCAAAGACTAAAGACTAAAGGGTGCTTTCAAATCAAAAAAATATATGTTCTTCAGTAGTCTCAAACTCTATGCATTAATAGATAACAGCTTGATTTAAATATACAATATAACATTTTTATGCATCTAAAAATGGAACAAAATAAATAATTGACAATACTCAACAAGATGTGTACATACATACATTCAATTTCAAAGAACTTCACAATCTTCATGCCATTCTTTTTGACATATATCAAGTTGTTGGCTTTTCCAATTGTGAAGGTTACTCAACATTTCAATTCTAATGCAACTCACTCTCACCAAATACCATAGAGTTTTGATCAAGGTGTGCAATGTTCCACTCAATTAGCATCAAAATTTTCCTAAACAATTGGAAAAATGTGCAACCTTTGGTATTATGTTGCAATCTATCTGTAAGGTTAACCTTCCTTCTTGAAGAACATAACATTTGTACAATATATGTGAAACCAATTGAAGAGTTAACTCCATCTTTGCCAAGTAGTTCACTGACCAGCCTCACTAGATGGCAGCATATCTGAGACATTTTAAAGACATAGCTTAACCAATTTCTCTTGAGATTTAGCACTAGCATTAAGTTCTAATTTGTCTCTGCCATTGTCTGCAATCGATTGGAGGTATTGTAACTTTTGTTTGTATGTCTGTATAAGTATATATATCTATGTCCTGAAATGGACATTATCCCAGTTTGTGTCTAATAAAAAAGAGAAAATCATAATAGTTGTCGCCTGCACACTGGTCAAAGCTAATCAAACCTTCTGAAACGTTGAGATGGGAATTCTAGTAAATGTGATGCACTGTTTGCTAACAATAAAGACTGTTCAATACAACACAATACAATACAACAAACAAGTACGCAGGTCCAGAGTTAAAGTCAGAAATGCATGATTACACAAGAGCTGTCAGGTTCATTAATGGGGGCATAAGTCAGTGACGTTAATATGAATCCGAGGAGTGATTAGTGGAGAAAGGATTAAAAGGATTGGGTGTGGTGATGATGCAGTCAAAAGTCAAGCCGAGCTGATTGTGGAGAGACACTTTGTGATCCTTGGCTGTCCCCTAAAAGCTCCCAATTATTCACTTTATTAGGAGCTTAATTTACAAGTTGCCTCGAGTTTTTGGCCCCCTATTTCACGCCGGCGTGGAGGGCATCCTGTTGGGCTATTTCAAGGAGACCTGCCACCCCTTCCCCATTTTTGCGCTCTAAAAACGCCTGGACGGTCCAGTTTGTATTCTAGCGGTCACTTCTGTAGGAAAATTCTTCCTGCGCAGCTTTTAGACCCCACGGTTAACTAATGCGCAGGGCGCCTCTGCTTGCAGTTTGACTTCCAGTCGCTTCTCTTCGACCCGAGACTCCCAAGCTGCCATCATGAGGATTCATTCAGATGCGCCACCGCAGGTTGACGGATTAATTTAACCGGTGGGAGATATTGTACAATCCTTCACAGCGCTATCAGTAGTGGTTGTGATCGTAACATAATCCGATTTCTCTTTTTCCTCTCGGGCTTGAGAAGGTGGAGGAGGAGAAGAAATCGACGCAGAGGCCCAGTGATTGACAACATGAGGAAACGCCTCCACCAAGTCTGGTGTATTCCAGGAAAGAAGGATCCAGCGACGCTTCCATGCATTGTGCTAAACAAGCGTGTATCCAGAGGTGGGTTTCTGGCAGACCAGCCAGGCTCCAGCTCCCATCACCAGCTTGAACCCTCGCTCTCTGCAACCTAACCGCGGTTATTGGCCGACACTAGCCAGAGCCCCTCGTGGTCCTATTCTCGGCCACCCCCCCTCTACAGGCAGCGCTGCCGGCGGGCGCCCCCCGGTCAGAGCGCAATACCCTGCTTGGCCGAGTCGGTGATGGGCGCTGCTTTCGTGACCAGGCAGCCAAGTAGCCGCGCATCTCAGGCTCCCTTGCCGCCCCCGCGTGGGACGATCGCCTTGGATGGGGTGTTAGGGTTCTCGAGGAGAATTTCCGGACCAACTTGTCTCTGAAGGATCTTGGAAGATTACTCTAGTGACCTCTTCGCAATTAATTTAAGAACGGTCTTCATCATCCTTTTTAATTAACAGAAAACGTGACATTCTTAGCCAGTTCTCTCGGCCAATCGCAGTTTCATGAGATGTAGAATGCGTGACCCTGAAAATGTGTGATTCGTAAGACGAAGTACCGGTACATTTCCTGGCACGGATATAAATGTGTGAAGAAACGCCACAAGTTACCTCTTATAATAGAGAATGCTTTCGTGGCAATTTCTTTGTGAGTGCGCCTCGCGCACAGAGTCAGGTGGGATATGTTATGAGATAACAACCAGTAGGAATCTGGACAGCGGACATAAGGAAACTGGACAGGGAAGATAGTTTTACTTGTGCTTTGAAGAAAGTTATCGAAAGGTATTCACTTCTGTGGAACAAACTGTACTATTATTTTGCTGTGATGAATAAGGGGTGAACGAACGAAGGAACGTCTTGGAATGCAGAATCAGTTCTATTGTGTTGTACCAAGACGGGTAAGACCGTCCAATCCGCAAGGAGGTGATGGTCATGAGATCAGTTAATCACAAAGGTAAAAGAGAACTGGAGAAAGAGAAGCAGGGGGTCCGGTCTTGGAACTTGGGCCCCACGGCTGGGACGCTCAGAGTCGCATCTGCCTGTGCGGTGATAGAGGTGGGACCACACCGTTGAGCAAAGAGATGAAATTGTTTGAGGAGCACTGAAAACCAGTCCATTCCATTGTCCAACTATCGTTGTGAGAGCCTCGGCTGCGCCTCGTCTATCGCTGCATGCACAACCCCGCCCTCGCTCAAATCATCACTCACTTGTTGGGTTCTCTGGCCGCTCTTCTCATCTGTGTGTGTCGTCTGTTGCTTCATGCATAGCCCTGGCTGTTGTATCAGCGCCGCTTTTATCCAGCGAAGAGATCGTAACTACTGTCAAACCACGGAGAGACTTGATCGGCTGAGGGGGTTCGTCGCACTAATGTTTGATTGATAGTCGGCGTGACCACCGCTTGACATCCTCACACTCGTCCTTTGTAATACCATAGTTTGCCGTTCTGATCCTGGAACCTCTCTGGACTTGTGCCCCCTTCGTGTCTGTACTAGAGTTGGCTTCTGTCTGTATCTTCTGTGGTTTCTTCGTCAAAGATCTGAGACGACAAGTACCTGAGTTAAGGGAGCCTGGGAGTCTTCTGTATCAAGACTGTCTGATGCCGCAAGGGATAACTCAAAACCTGGTCAGGAGTGACGAAATTAGTCTTAACTCTAACACAACCACACTTGGCTAACACGACGGTGATGTGGCGACTTTGCGAAGAAGTTTGATCTACTGAATGTATGGGTCTTAAGTTTCTTCAGAGATCATCCACAGTTCGACGACGAGAGATGTTTGGGAACATCCCATGAGTGCAGTATAGCCTCACGCAACAGTATATCCGCCATATCTCAGTTTCTGAAGGCTACTTTCCTACTCATAGATTCTACATGCAGGTCGCTGGAATCAGGCAATCCGAGACTCCAGTTTGCAAACCAGAAGTTGATAATATGTTGCTGAGGTTGCCACCCCGATAACGCAAAGGTCTGCACCTTGTTACAGACTCGTCATCCGAGGAAAAAACTCTTTCTCATACTTACAGCCACAGTGTGTCATACCCGTGATACAATCAGAGGGGTCGCTTGATCAGTACTTCAGAGAAGCTTCAGTCTTCTGATTCCTTCTACTCTAGCTTTTCGGAGACCATGGCACCTTACCAAGCATTTGACAGCCAAGGTTCTCCCAAACAGTTGAGCCCCAAAAGCAGCTCACTGGAGATAGTGAGTGTAAGCAAGGAGTCTCATAATATGAGCAAGCCGGTCGCTGGTGGCGGGACTCCATTTAGACGCGAATGGCAGACCGCCGGCACGCATACTATTCAAGCACCTACTATCCGGGTTATCCACATTTTTGCTCCAAAGGTGATCAAAACAGACGTGGCGAACTTCAGGTCTACGGTACAGAAACTAACAGGCAGGAACACCAGGAAGTCGCAACGAAGAGCCCGCACGAAGACGGTTAGTAAGGTTATTGTTCCCAACCAAGGTTGTGCGGTGATGGGAGGCTCGCAAGGTTGTGCGAGTTTTGCTGGGCCGCAACTTTGGGATCAGGAAAGCTCTCAGAAGGAAGTGCTCCAGGGACTCGTCGTCGATGCTTGCGGTTCCGATCATCTGCATCGCTCGAACAGCAGGGAGTCAACGTCATTCAGCCTGGAAAGCAACACCAGCAACGACACTACTGACTTATCCAGCCCCTCTGAGTTATCGTTCCCTCAGTGCTGCTTCACACAAGACACCGAGCAACAGTATTCGTTGGACGCTATTCCTGCTCCTTTCTTTGGGTCGGTCGGGTCGGACATGGTGCAGACTTGCTTTGCCGACTCATCGCCGACTTTCTCAAATACCAGCTCTCACGGTTCGGTAAGAAATCTGGAGAACGGGTTTCAATTGCCGCATGTGATGGACAGTAGCATGAGCTTGCTGAGTTTCGAAGCAGACATTTCAGAATCGGGACTTGGCTCTTCGCTACTGTCCGATTTCCCATTTTTAAATCCTTTAGGAGGGACTTCCTCTGGAGGCAGCTTGTACGAGTTAATGCCCCAACAATATTGCAGATTGAGCGCCGTTCACCAGCCGTTTCAAGGATCTGGTGCTTTCTTTGAGTCCATTTAACTCTTGGTATGAATCAGCATCCTCCTTCCATGACTGCACAGTTGATGAGAGGATTCTTATCTGGCTTCGATAGATACTAAGTGTCTCTACCGATCTGAATCAGAATGTTTGTGCGGTTGGATGTGGCCTGGTTCACTTACGAGAAGTGTTTGTGATGTGTGCAGGATAACGAATTTTCGGCACAGATTTAAGAGATAAGTTATGAGTGGGTCACCACAAATACATTGTATTGTAATTCACGTGGCGAGTTAAGACGATGAAAAGTGCAACTTCAAGTTTGAGTTGTGCTGGTTCTAGTGGCAGTGTACACTTGTACAGCATTGAGATCAGAATTCAGGAGCAGTAGAGTAGATTTGAACATGTTACATCACATCTGAGATACGAACCCCATGGGCTGAGCAAATCACAGCGGCAACAAGAATGATTACTATTTTCTTTGCCCGAGCAACTGTATAGAACAGATGGGCCGCATAATGAAATTTCAACGACGCGTTCAACTAGTTGAAATGGGTACCAAAGACATCTCTTAACTCCGATGCAAGATCTGAACATTTCTTCAGAAGAAGGCACTCGGTCACACAGTTACACAGCATTGATGGTTACATTGGTAGCCATTGAAGAGTGTAGATATAAATCGGCTCATTTTTGGGATTGGGACCTCATGGTTTCTTAGGTAGAATTCTAACCATTCCTCGAAGGAATTGTAGGAGCTTTCTGTTTAAAGTGTCTACTCCGATCTCTGTTCACATAGTACATATACAATAAAGAATGTCTGTTTAGGGAAACGATGCAATTGAGTTACAAACCTTCCCTGTGGATTTCGGTGAAACATCCTCTAGTTGTTGCTACTTGGTATGCGTTGTATTCTTAACATAATTTCACCGTCTTGCAGACCGTGCGCCCGTGCTAGAGTGGGGATTTAAATCCTAACTCCTGTGGGGTTCTAACTTTGCAGGTCTTTGCAATGATCTGTGTGTTTTGGAGCCTGTTGGTAAATTGACAGTGGAAAGTGACGACACGACTAGCTTATCTGCTCAGATGCATTTTCATAATGTGCTCTATGACGTTACTAGCCGTGTGGAATGTTCCTGTGTCATATTCTGTGTCCATTCTGCTATATTGTTTTTTACCGTTTTTTGAATCACGCGCTTCAGCTCCGAATCTAAGTTCAGTTTGTTTTCTGCGTCATATCCAAATATCACCGTCTTTCAAGCACCAGAAAATCCATGATGATCATGACCTAGGCAGAGCATGGAAGTGGGTGCAGATCAGCTAAGAAATAAGTGCGTTTTCGACACGCGATCCTTTCGTTTAAAAGATTTTGATGCAACAGCGCCTTCGTGCAAACTGATTCCGCATAAGAAGTCAATATCTGTTCTATGAGCATGATAACCTCCATATCACGTGGATGTTATTAACCTTTAATTGAAATTGCTTAAAAACCTGACGGAATTACCTTGTGGATGTCTAGATTGAAAAAGAAGTCAATAATTTTGCTTCTCAGCTTGACAGTAACTACCTTCCGTGGATAGTAGCGACTTAAGGCACATTCCTTGGTAAAAGCCACCTCCGTCAACTTTATATTCTTATTTACGACGTACAAACTCAACCTGAGAGGTTTCGGCGACGCAACGAGATGTAGGGCTCGAACAGTCTTCTAGTGACCTACAAAGTCTATGAACTTCACGCGCCCCCCTAACTACCATAATCCAGGGACCAGTATGGTTGGTTCTGGGCCACAGCAGCTGTTCCGCTCTAAGATTCCATGCTCTCAAGATACCCTAGAGAGCTGTCACCGCAGCTCACAGGTACATGACACAACTTCATGATAGTACTCTGTACCAACGTAGCAACTGGTTTAAAATTTCAGCACCATGTGCAGGCTAATGACGGGGGACTACGAAGTCATGTTTTAGCATACCAAACATTCCAGGTTGCAAAACCTCAGTGTCAATGCTTTCGCCAACTGCGGACGGCAGCTGAGCCCCCACAGGAATTGTACTTCGAAGGCCGAAATTCTTGCACACACTGTAAAGCCCGAAGATTACTGGCTAAATGCGAAGCATTCAGACGTGTGGTCTCAAAGGTGCCGCTTGTGGCATGAAGTAGTGAAATTTTTAGTTGGTTGCTGGACTCGTAGCCTCTCGTCGTAGAATTTGTTTTCGAAAAAAGTAACATTAATAGCTGATTGTTACAGCTTCCAGCATAGAACATCGTGCGGGCATTGTTACGTCTCTTACCGTACTCCAGTACTGCTCAGTGTCGATGATACGACACCGTGATGTGAACCGAACCGAGATATACTATTTTACCCCAGGGGTTTGGAGGAGCAAACGGTCGACAATTCCAGCGCGGTGAGTACTGGATGTAGAAGGTCAACTGCCGTCCAGGGGTGCAACCAATTGAAGCGCTCGCCTCACATGTTGTGAAGTCGTCTTGCGACCGACCATTATCATCAAGAGTACGGGGACAATGTCACGGTGCCTACATTCCAGCTGCAACAAGTAGTGCATACGTCCTCTCCGCTCTGACACGTCTCAGAAGGTCAGCTGAAGAAGCTGGTCCTAATCTGGCGTAAGATTACTAAAACCCCTTAAGATTTGCACTGCATGAAGCACGGCAGAAGCGTATGTACAAGCCATCTTGAGTCTGTATTGTTCCGTCATGAATGGGTGCCATGATGGATACGAGTGCAGGTCTGGATCCATCTGATTCACTGCGTAGTGCCTGGCGACACCCAACGTGCCAGTAGGGTCATCCAGGGTAATTATACTCCCCTCCCCCCCGCCCCCCTCCCCTGGGTGCCATCCAAACGGCCTCAGGGCGGTGAATCAAACTCTGTGCTTGTCCGTCCCTGCTGGAGAAGCGACGCGTGAAATCAACAAGCCACTGGCAAAGCAAAAGGGGGGGGGAGGGGTGTCAGCAGCAGGATAGCATGTAGCATTGCGACGCGACGTCCTTGGGAGTGATGCAACCGTCGAGGCAGCCTTGTGCCCACACAAATAAAAATCTCCCAGAGGACTTGGAACTTGCTCCACATGCCTGCCTAATGTAGAGCCCACGTCGATGATTCGATGTAGAAGAAGGGGTAAAGCGTGCTGCCTGCAGAAGCAGCAGCAGCACCCTCAATCAGTCACTATAAGTTACACTAGATCGGAAGCCTCTATCGTTTGGGAATCCCACTCATCGATCGAAGGACTGGTTCGTTTGTGGCGCAGCTGTGCGTGAGATGTGTGCGTGAGGGTGGTCGCAAAGCTGCCGATTCGTATGTTGTGAGCAGCAGCACCACCAGGAGGAGGAGGAGGAGGAGGTGGAGGACCGGGCTGGGTTGGGTTGGACTGGGCTGGTCCCATTGAGCCGGTCCCGCTCCCTCTGGAAAGCCAGCGATCCAGCCAGCGTGTGCTGCTTTCGTCGACGTGGACTCCAGGTGGACCACTACGTGTGGCCCGTGTGAACAGAGCTGCTTCCAAAAGAGATCCGAAATATCTATTTGACAATGCAGCTTCTGGATCCAAGTGTGAAACGGGTTTCGTTACATTTGATGATTTTGTTATTGTTATTCCGTTGTGGGGTGTTGGTCTATGATGGTGCAGTGAGACTCACTTTTTTTTTTTTTTTTTTTTTTTTTTTGAGATGTAGAAATTGGTTGAATGCAAAGATTCCAATCCTGACTAAAGGAGGATATACGGTTTTTTTTTTGCTATATGTATAAATATAAATATATAATTTGGGTTCTAGGCATTTTTAATTAAACTAAATTTTATTAGTTAGAAAACTAAAACATCATTGAAGCAAGGGTTTATTTTATTTTATTTATAAGTTATATTTATTTTTATATTTTTAGGAAATATAAAAAATTCACTCAAAAATCCAAATTATTATAATTATTCTTGATTTATCAATCTATTGATTTACATAAAAGAAAAATAAAATTTAAGAATGTATTTTTGCAAAAAATTATAGATGATTATTACTAAGTTAAAGCTAATCAATGGTTTGAGTAATGAAAATTTTAATTTAATATTAATATATTATTCTTAGTAATAGTAAGAGTATTTGAAAGTTAAAACCTCCTTATCAAAATCCTTCGGAATGATTGAACTTGAATTTTATCATGAGCCCTTATGGTTGCACCAATGCATTAGCACTCTTTTTATTATTTTTGTTAAACCTAGTTGGAAGTGCACCAGCACTGAAACAATCCGTGATTTGATAAGAATTTTATTACAATATACTTCATTTCATTTTTAGTCTCTTATAATAATGTTGGTATTATTTTATTCTTAACACTGGATAATCAAGCAACAAATAGCTGATCGAGATTGTTTTAGTAGTGAGAAAACTACTGAAAAATGAGAAACCTTGGTCCGTTAACTCATCTGCATTGTTTGCATCAATGAACTAACAATATGAACTGTTGTATTAAATTGTATGAAAATTCTTTTAATGTTAGCATTAGTACATGTAATTATGCAAAATTGTAGATTATATACTTATTGATCAAATAGTGTTGTATGAAGGAAGATACAACCATAAGAAAGAAATATTAAGAAAAAATATTATATCCCTCAAATATGTTAAAATATCAAGAATATCCATGTATTCTTGATAATAGCAAATATGCTCTTCAAATTTGGATGGATTCCACCGTTGATCCTATGACAGATCTCATATTTGCAAGCATGCTCAAATACCAAGACCTATAGCAGAAAATAGGGATTGAGTTGTTGTACTTCATATACTTTTACAGCAATGAGCAATCACATATGGTGTTTGATAATTATTATTACATCAATCTGATGACTAATCAAGGCTTATTGCATATAGATTTTGAGATTGCTTGGAACTCACAAGTAAAGCCATTCATAGTGGTGTATGCTAAGGACAACCCTTTGTGTCACAAGAACTTTGCAATGGCTTTCACCAAGTTGAGTGAACATGATCCTCTCATAAGTACTCAAGGGGAGGTCCAAAAGTACGGAAAAGCCAAAAAAGGATGTAGCAAAATCTACACATTCCGTGATATGGACCGTAGATGATAACTAAATAAGGAATATTGGTGATATCTTAGCACCAACAAGGGTACATTTGCTATTATCACAAATTTGAGAGGTGTATTTGCTATTATCAAGAATACTTGGGTATTCTTGATATTTCTATATAATTGAAGGGTATATATGTATATGATATTTTTCCAAATACTAAATAGCAAGGGAAAAATAAATATTCACCGTTGATTCAAAGTGACACAATGCCAATCCAATCACAATTTACACAACAAGGAGTTGCATCAATCCCACAGTCCAATATCACTCTATACATCAAGTCAGATATTGTACCATTTTTATTGTACCATAAATAAAACACACTGGTTGGGTAGTGAAGGATTGTGTAGATCCAACATTGCACCATGTTTCATGTGATCACGACCCAACTTAACGTTGAATGCAAGCTATATTGCAGGAGGGAGGGTACAAAAACACCAGCACTACAAAAGAATGAAAAGAACAAGCACCGTGCGCAGACATAGAGTCAATTGCGATGGATGAATCACGCAGTGGAAACATTGACTTAGGGGAGAGCAACAGGGGTGCGAGTAGTGTTCGTGGTGGTGGTGATGGTGGTGTGAGGTTCACCCAATGAGTAATAGGGCAAGCTGCTAGTAGTGTCTGTTACCTGGAGGGGACATTACTCGATGTGTATGTCGGAGTGTGCACGCTGAGGGGTTCTCTCAGGGGCTCCACCAGGCTCTGCTACTTTATCGAACACCCAAAAGGGAAGCACTCAAGGCTA